CGTCTAGATTGAAAATTCTCTTCCAACATATCAAATGGAGCCTTAATTTTAATTTCAGTTTTATCCCCACATTTAATCATGTCACGAACGAGGACTTTTAGATCACGTCCCACGGACACGTTAACAACATCCCACTTCTATCTTAGTTGCCTTCACAAGTGTCTCGTTGTTGAAATTTCAATGCCCATTTTAAGAAAATAAATCATCGCCAATACTTTAAGTTTTGAGGCTGGAAGAATATTGCTTTCCACTTAAGTAAAGCTACCATCAATTGAACAACACATAAGCATAGCATTGGTTCAGCATCACGATTATTGATTTTCACTTTCTCTACACATACAAAATACCTCGAACTGAGAGTGTATAATGATACTTCCCAACTCCATTCATATAACAAATGATTATAATCATTCAAACCATTTCTTAATAGGTTAAAGGTAACTCCATATCGATACTCGTATTTTCCAACTGAAATAGAATAGGACAAGCTGAAAGTGTTCAAGAGTAAATATATCATTTTCGTACAACCAAAAGATACATTATAGTGCACTCATAGATGCTGATTAAATTCTTCTACTGCCACTGTCAGAAACTTAGTCCGTTCCAAAAAGTAAGTTTATTTAAGAAGTTCTAAGGTTGATAAAAATTTTGGACATGTTCTCCACAGAGAAATGTCATTCGATTTCCAAGCAAAGATGATAATTGTTAACTTTAAATCACAGATAAAATAGTTCATTCCAAATGGTTCTATACATTGGTAAGACTACTATGGATTTAACAAGCTTCACGAGAAAACTCTGAGTTTCAAAAGTTTGTTACATAGACCACCAGTTTGAAACAGGATTCGTGCGAAAAGATTCAAGAAAACTAATGTAGTACGAAGAAGTGGAATGGTGGTATCCTCCCGAATATCGCCAAGGAATCAAAACTATTTTTAATTTCTACTCTCAAAAGGTTTAATAATGATGGTTAACAATAATGATGAGATTGACCCGTAAATTCCTGGCGATACACCAATAATGATACATTAGCCCCATGTTAGGGCTATCAACTAGTCTCAATTACACACCTTTCTTTGGCAGCAAAGTTCTTTGCTTATAATCTAGAGACACTCGCTAAAATGATATTCTAAAGATCGACGAGTCGTCAAATCTGCCTAAAACTTAGGAACAACTAACATATTTTTCCGTATTCGACGAGGTGGTAAGATTTAAACATTAGACTCAAGAACCAAGAATGCTCACATCACGTGTGTGATGAACACAATACTGCCCAACTTATGCTCTGATACCAAACTGACACACCCCGACTTGTGATGTCCACTAGGACTCCGAATCGAGCTGTGCTGGCCGACGCTTGGAAGGTGACGAAGCCATAAGGTATGAAGATGTAGAAAAATATGAATAAATTTAAACCTAAAAGTGCTTAAATACCAGAGTGCGCTGGTGAGTGGGAAGGAACCCACTTCACACGTGACGTTAGAGCATAAGTAAGTACAGTAGAGTGGATTAAGAATCATACCCTTGAAAGAATCTCCAATACTAAGAATTGCCGCGAATCTTGAACGATAAGAAAAATCAGCTAATAAAACCTAGAGGGTGAAAAAAAAACAAGGGTGACTCACACTTGGGGTCCCGTTCTCTCCTTTCTCTCCCTCTCCTTTCCTTTCTTCCTTATTGGTCATTCCCTATCTCTTCTTTCTGATTGGCTTCAACTCTTCCTCCCTTCTCTCATTCTTTAAATCCGGGCCACACATGTGGCATTCCAGATTTTTTTCCAAAAAGTCTAGTGTTTGCTCCATACCAAAAGGAATCTTGGTGGTGGAATGAGGAGTTACAAACAAAGGTGAAGGCTAAGAAGGAATGTTGTAAAGTCTTATACAAGGATAAGACCAATGAAAATAGTGAAAGGTATAGAAGAGCGAAGCAAGAGGCTAAGAAAGCTGTGAGAGAAGCTAAGCTAGCGGCTTATGATGATATGTATAAGCGACTAGATACCAAAGAAGCAGAGTTGGATATCTATAAACTAGTTAAAGCAAGGGAAAAGAAGACAAGGGACCTAAACTAAGTGAGGTGCATCAAGGATGAGGATGGAAAGGTTCTTGCTACAGAGAACGCGGTCAAAGACAAATGAAGAGGTTATTTTCATAATCTTTTCAATGAAGGACATGAAAGTAGTACTTCTTTGGGGGAGTTAAGTAACTCAGAAGAGTGTAGAAACTACTAATTTTACCGCCGAATCAGGAAGGAAGAAGTGGTTGTAGCTTTGAAAAAGATGAAGCATAGAAAAACAGTGGGCCTAGATGATATACCGATCGAAGTGTGGAAGGTCTTGGGAGAGACATGTATAGCATGGCTTACTGACCTTTTCAATAGGATTTTGAAAACGAAGAAGATGCCAAATGAGTGGCGAAAGAGCACTTTGGTGCCTATTTACAAAAATAAGGGTGACATACAAAATTGCATGAACTATAGGGGTATTAAGTTAATGAGTCATACAATGAAGCTCTGGGAGAGAGTCATTGAACATAGATTGAGGCAAGAGACACGGGTTTCGGACAATCAATTCGGGTTCACGCCAGGGCGCTTAACCATGAAGACAATCTATCTCTTACGAAGATTGATGGAAAGATATAAAGATGAGAAAAATGATTTACACATGGTATTTATAGATTTGGAAAAAGTGTATGATAAAGTCTTAAGAGACATTCTTTGGAGGATTTTAGAGAAGAAAGGAGTACGAGTAACATATATCCAAGTTATAAAGGATATGTATGATGGAGCAAAGACTGCCGTAAGAACTCATGAAGGACAAACCGAAAGCTTCCCTATAACTGTAGGGTTACATCAAGGCTCATCCTTAAGTCCTTACCTTTTTGCATTGGTAATGGATGAGTTAACATGATATATTCAAGATGATATTCCTTGGTGTATGCTTTTCGTAGACGATATAGTGTTGATAGATGAAACTCAAGAAAGGGTAAATGCCAAGCTTAACCTTTAGAGATAAGTGTTGGAATCTAAAGGTCTTTACCTAAGCCGATCAAAGACAGAATATATGGAGTGTAAGTTCAGTGTAAATGGAGGCCAAAATGAGTTAGGGGTGAGGATCGGAGATCAGAAAATACCAAAGAGCGACTGCTTTCGCTACCTAGGATCTATCTTGCAAAAGAACGAAGAATTAGATGGAGACCTCAACCATAGAATACAAGCTGGATGGATGAGGTGGAAGAGTGTATCCGGTGTGTTGTGTGACTGCCGTATGCCACTGAATCTCAAGGAATTTTTTTTTATGATGACAATAAGGCCGACGATACTGTATGGCACATAATGTTGGGCGGTGAAGCATTAACATGTACATAAAATGGGTGTAGTGGAGATGAGAATGCTTTGTTGGATGTGTGGGCATACGAGAAATGATAAGATTAGGAATGAGGATATCCGAGGTAAAGTAGGAGTAGCCGAAATTGAAGGAAAGATGAGAGAAAACCGGTTACGGTGGTTTGGACATGTGCAAATAAGGCCTACTGACGCTCCGGTTCAAAGATGTGACTATGGGACAGAGGTTCAGGGCCGAAGGGGTAGAGCAAGACCTAGGAAAATTTTGGAAGAGACCTTAAGAAATGACTTAGAGTACTTGGATCTAACGGAGGACATGATACAGAACCGAGTGCAATGGCGTTCTAGGATTCATACAGCCGACCCCACTTAGTAGGAAAATGCTTTGTTGTTGTTGTATTAGATTTCATCAAATTAGATCTTAACTGTTAGATTCAATGAATTTATAAATATAAAAATAAATTAAAAAGTATACATATATGATGGTCTAGCCCCACTAACTTAGGGGGAATCCAAGGCTAAATTTGGCCCATAAATGAGTTTTGAGTTTTAACTCATATTTGCCCTAAGGGTTGGTGCAAAGTTGGAATAAGTTTAGAACCTAAAATTTGAGTTTTACTCTAAAGGTTGGAGTAGGTCTAAGAGAAATCGGTAAAATTTCTAGCTCTCTTAAAAGCAACCAACTGAAATAGCTTTGCTTCCAAAAACTAATATGTACATGCTCAAAATTACATGCTCAAAATACTCAACTTAAGTACGCTTTAATAATACTAGTATTCGAATACAAGAACGACAACATACTGATAATATTTTAAAGGTGACATTATTGACACTCTAAAATATTCATTAAGCATTTCAAATTTTCTACATTTAGAAATAAAATACACTTAGGCCCAATTTGAGATTGCTGTGTTTTTTTTTTTTAAAAACTGCTTCTGCTATGCTTTAAGAATAATCAGCTGTAAAATAAAGCAGATGAGTATTTGGTTAATTGTATTTTAAAAGTGTTGTGAATAAGAAAAACAATATAAAAGCGTTTGGTAAATTTTAAAGTAAAAGTAATATAATTGTATACAATGACAAAATGGACATAGCAGTATGAGTGGGGAGACAATAGTGGCGAGGACAATGGTGGTGGAGGTGGTGGTTACAGTGGTGGCGATGGTAGCAGCAATGGTGGAGGTATGGTGGTGGTGTTAATAGTGGGATATGGTGGTTGGGGTGCACATGTAACAATGGTACTAGGGGAGGTGGTAGCGCCAATGGTGGCAACTGTGGTTGTGGTTATAGTGTAGGTATGGTGGTGTGAGAACAGTGGGATGTGGTAGTTGAGGTGTAGAGGTAACACTCGTGGTATGGCTGGTGGCAGCGGTGGTGGTTGTGGTGGCAATGGTGGCGGTTGCGATTATGATGGTGGCAGTGGTGGTGGTAGCAATGATGGTGGTGATACTGGTGGTAGTGCCGGTTGGTGGTTGTGGTTGCAATGGTGGCGGTTACGGTTATGGTTGTGGTGGTGGCAACAACGGTGATGGTAGTAGCATTGATGGTGTAAGGTTAGTGTTTATGGTGGTACGTCGTGGCAGTCACTTTATTCTATAAAGGATAAAATTTGTGTGGCAGTCACTTTTTAAAAATTAATGAAAGTATTTCAACAATTGAAAATATTTATTAAAGATTCAACTCTGCTTTAGCAGGTTTTAAAATTGCTAGCAAAACGAAATTGTTTGTCCCACGTGCTAGAGAAGCACCAAAAGAAGATAAAACGATGCATAACAGAATGTGAAGGAATATGTCTGCGAGAGTTCGATTCTAAGATGGTATAACAGATGATATACGGTAATACCTCAAACTCGAAATGTACATATATAATACCGCGGAGACCTATAAGGGACTCCATTGACTCTTCCTTGATCCGCCATAAACACGCAACCAACAAAGGCCAACTTGGGTGAAACATTATAGCTTAAAGCTCGGCACTTGCAGTACCTATATAACATTCAAGCCGCAGATATTCACTAGTAATCTGAATGACGAAATCAGAACAGTTTTCCACAACCTGTATGGAACTATGGATTCATGTCACCGATCTCCAATCATTAGTGGCTCGATGGCAGACGGAAGGAACCCCCAGCATAAAGCATTTGGTAAACCGGTCGTACTCTAATTGTCAAAATTACACTCAAGATGAAGCCTAGTCCACAGGCGATGGCTAAAACTATAAATGTGAGCCCAAAGCAAGCAGAACCTACGCATGTAGACCCTCCTTGCTTGGCAGCTTCAGCATCATACACATCACCAGCAAGAAGAACGGAGAAAAGTACTGCACCGATAGGATTCCCAAGTCCCATGAAGCTGTAAATTACGGCAAAATTTTTCAAGCCGAAAAGTTCGGAGGCTGTTGGAACCATCAATGAATACTGAGCCCCATAGCAGATACCAAACAGAGCAGTTGCAACATAGAGAGTACCACTGATAGCTAGAGCATATAAAACAAACGATATGAGCATAACTACATGCGCACATGCCATCCACACTGTGCGAGGAACTGTTTTCGTCCTGCAATGGCAAAATGTTATACCAAATTAGTATTATGCCCTTAAAGAAGCAAAAGAATGACTCATCCATTAAAAACAGAGAGTTGAATGTGATCATATATTCTCAAACAGAATAAGGTCTGTATATAGTTTACGAGTATAAGAATCTAGGTCACAATCTCAAAAGTATATTGGAACAGTTTGACACAAAAGTAAGATGTTCAAGAAACTCTGATATAACATTGCAATCTGCTAACCCTACAATAGAGGGAAGAAAAAGGTGAATGTAAACGCATTAAAGAATAACAACAATTTCCAAGTTTGAAAGATTTATCCATCAAAAAGAAGATTAAAGGTTAAAAGAAACACAAGTCAACAAAGCAAGCTAGCAAGATACTTTAGAAGATCGTCGAAACTTAAAATCAGGGCCAGTGGAAAAACAGGACTTGTTATTGCCGAAGTGGTGTCAGTTATACCTGAAGTTAAAAAGCCAGGCTTGTACAGAAATTTGTAGAACTTAAAAAGAGAAAAAAAATGTTTCAGAAACAGTTAAACAGAAGTTAGTCAGAAATGACCTGAGAAAGTGTTCAGAAACAGCACCAGAACCCAGACGACCCACAAAATTGCAAAAGCTGAAGAGAGACAACAGTATTGTCGTATCACTAGCGCCTAATGCAATCCCAATCTGGCTCAAATTATTGAGTACTGTTATTCCAGAACCGACCCCAAGAAAATATAGAAACCAAAGAAGCCAGAAATCAGCCTTTATAAAAGCTTCTTGAAACTTAAAATCCTCTCCCCTCTTAGGTCTCCTTTTCTTCTTCACTGCCCCTTCCCCAATTGCAATAAGTGTTTCGATATCTGAAGCATATTCAGCCTCAAGAAAACTGCCAAGATGTGTAGCTGATGAGGATGGTGTCAACAAAGGATCCGTTTGGGTCGCGCCCTCTTCTGGAGCAAGACGGTCTGAAGATTCAGCTCGTGCCCTTGAAGGAAATAGTGTCATTTTCACAGGAATTGCGAGGGGAGCAAGTAGAAGAATAACCATTATAGCAACCAAAATGTAGGAAATAGCATCGCTAAGAGATACCAACTGCTGTACTATTGTGACAGTGATAAGATAAATAGCTAGCAAAACACTGACAGCTATGGTGAAGAGAAAATGGACATGCTCCGAAGAATCTTCTCCAGAAGCTGGAGTACATGGCCGGATAAAGTACATCAAGGCTAAACACAAAACTGGAATCCCAAGAGCAAGAAACAACAATAGATTCAAAGCCGAATCCTGAAGCACCGTACTGTATAATACTGTATAAACAGCAGCACTAAGCCCGATATAACCTTTGAGAATGCCAGCCACAGTGCCTCTGCTGAGAGGGAAGTTCCTCATGTTGGTTACAAGCACAGCTGTGCCAAACCAAGCGTTGCTATTTGCCGCAATGAAAAGTGTGATCCATAACTGCAATAGAAATAAAAGATAGATATTAGATGTCCTAATGCGAAAACTAAAACATATATTTAACTAGCTTATTTCTGAAAATTTCCTTCTGTAAGATTTTTACTTTTTTTCAGCATAATTCAACATCAACATAAGGATAAAAGGGGGACGGGGTTGCGTAATGCATAAAGGCAATAATAGAATTTGACATAATAATAGAATTTGACATATGGGTAATGCCTTTTGTATTAAAAGGCAATACATTCCATAGTATGACTTTACTTCAGAAGACAACATTTAAGTAACCCCTAACAGCTTGAGACAACAATGCACGAAGAAGCAAAGTGGTGAAGTAATTATTTCAACAAATTAACAGAAAGCAGATGAAAGCAGGCCTGAAAAAGAAAAGGCCCACGTAAATCAATTCCAACACACACACGAGGAAAACAAAATGCTTATTGCTACAAGAACATAACACCTGTACAATGAAGTACAATGCAGTCAATAGGAGATGAATCAATTTCAACTAAAAAAGAAGTTGAAAACACATGTGGATCAATTGTATCTAATCAATCTGTTCTCGGAAAAAACATTTCTCTACGTACAATCTTCATGCAGGATGTTAATTGTGCGGCTTCAGATTTAATCACACAAGAAAGCTCCAGAAAGAGAGGACAAGAATACTATGGAGATTATAGTTTGCCTTAAGTGAGACTTGAAAAAGTCCAAGATCTGAGATACTACTAACAGTTTAGAAAATGAGCCTGCTTGTGAGTAATCAGCACTTATACAACTTTACAACAACAACAACAACAACAACAACAAAGCCTTTTCCCACTAAGTGGGGTCGGCTATATGAATCCTAAAACGCCATTGCGCTCGGTTTTGTGTCATGTCCTCCGTTAGATCCAAGTACTCTAAGTCTTTTCTTAGAGTCTCTTCCAAAGTTTTCCTAGGTCTTCCTCTACCCCTTCGGCCCTGAACCTCTGTCCCGTAGTCACATCTTCGAACCGGAGCGTCAGTCGGCCTTCTTTGCACATGTCCAAATCACTGGAGCCGATTTTCTCTCATCTTTCCTACAATTTCGGCTACTCCTACTTTACCTCGGATATCCTCATTCCCAATCTTATCCTTTCTCGTGTGCCCACACATCCCACAAAGCATCCTTATCTCCGCTACACCCATTTTGTGTACGTGTTGATGCTTCACCGCCCAACATTCTGTGCCATACAACATCGCTGGCCTTATTGCCGTCCTATAAAATTTTCCCTTGAGCTTTAGTGGCCTACGACGGTCACACAACACGCCGGATGCACTCTTACACTTCATCCATCCAGCTCGTATTCTATGGTTGAGATCTCCATCTAATTCTCCGTTCTCTTGCAAGATAGATCCTAGGTAGCGAAAACGGTCGCTTTTTGTGATCTTCGCTAGATTGCTCCGGTCATTAGTGTGGATAAGTATATAAATGGATAGAGATAGGAAAGCAAACACAAGATGTACGTGGTTCATCCAGATTGGCTACGTCCACGGAATAGAAGAGTTCTCATTAATTGTGAAGGGTTTACACAAGTACATAGGTTCAAGCTCTCCTTTAGTGAGTACAAGTGAATGATTTAGTACAAATGACATTAGGAAATAATGTGGGAGAATGATCTCGTAATCACGAAACTTCTAAGTATCGGAGTGTGGTGTCGTCTTGACTTGCCTTATCTGTCTCATAGGTAGATGTGGCATCTTCTCTGGAAGTACTCTTCCTCCATCCAGGGGTGGTATCTTTAACTGGTGGAGATGCACAAGGTAATGTATCAATTTCACTTGAAGCTTACTTGTAGTTTCAGGCTTGGTCAAGCGCGATACAAACCATGTAGTAGGAGTCTCCCAAGTCGCCGAGCTAGGGGGTCTGCTGAAAGAGGTGACAGACAAGGTAAGCAATTAGAGCTCCGACTGATTGTTCACTTTCTCCCCATCTTGCAGCAGCATGAAGGATAAAGAGAAGAAAAATGAGAAGAGATGATATGAGATACTTTTGCTTTTGAAGAAGTAACTTTCCACAGGCTTATTCTTGAACTGAGCTGGAAGGTTTTCTGGTTTCCTCCAGAGTATAAGGCCGACTGAAGAATTTGAGGATCAAAACAAGTCCATCAAATCTAGAGTACGTTCCACCCTGCTGATATGGGATACTTTTGCTTTTGACAGAGTAATGGATGTATCGGCACGTGTGCTGTTACGCTTGTCTCCACATGCTTCCTTGTATCCTTCGCACTTGCCCTATCTGTTCCTCAAGCAGATGCGGAATCTTCCCTGGAAACATAAGATGTTGAAGATGAGTACTCGAGAGCAATGCCAGGTAAGTAATCAGGTAAGGGGTTCCAGGCAGTCAGTTCCTAGCTGGAAGCTTGATTCCAAGTGCTGACTGATTGCTCTCTTTCTCCTTGTCTTACAGGTAAAAACAAGGCCAAAGGAAAAGACAGGGAAAAAGCATGATATGGGATACTCTTGCTTTTAACCCTGATGATATGAGATATTCTTGCTCTAGTATAGCTTGTTTGCAGAGGTATTATCGGGGAGAAAGAAAGCTGAATATTTCGAAAGGCTTCGTTGGGAGTGCCCTCTCAGATATGATGAAGGGTTGAGCATTTTTGCAGGTCTGCCTGTCTGTTGGGGATGGAGGTCGACATATATAGGAGTCTCCCTAACAACAAGTAGTAATGCTATTCCTTTACCCTGCTTGGTCATAGCACGGTAGTGGGAGCTGCCAGTTTCACATGTTTTAACTCTGTCAGAGCACTTTGAAAAAGTGGTCTGTGGTATCTGGCTCTCGAGATTCGGAGAACGATGCCTCTTCGATTTTTGAGAAAGCAATCATGCTGGGGGTCTGGCTCTCGAGATTCGGAGAGCAGTGTCTCTTCGATTTTTGAGGAAGTAATCATGTTGGGAGTCTGGCTCTCGAGATTCGGAAGGCGGTGCCTCTTCGATTTTGGAGCAAGCAATCCTGTTGGGAGTGTTGTTTCGAATGTGAGTAAAGGTTGGGCATGTTTGCTAGTCTACCTTGCCACGAAGCACAAAGGTTGACACACAGGGACTTTCCAATTATCCAGCAATGGTACTGTTCCTTTACCCTCTCTTCGCTTTTGAGAAAGTAGTCATGTTGGGAGTCTGGCTCTCGAGATTCGGAGGACGGTGCCTCTTCGATTTTGGAGCAAGCAATCTTGTTGGGAGTGTTTTCTCGAATGTGAGTAAAGGTTGAGCATGTTTGCTAGTCTACCTTGCCACGAAGCACAGAGGTTGACACACAGGGACTTTCCAATTATCCAGCAGTGGTACTGTTCCTTTACCCTTGTGGGTAATAATATGGTAGCTAGACCTTCAAAATTTATGTGTCTAAACTTTGTTAGTGCTGTTTCTTTGCTATTCTTTTACCTTTCTTGGTCAGAGCGATGTAGTGGGAGCTGCAAGCTTCACGTGCTCAACTTTGGCAGAGAACTTTGGCAAAGTTATCTGTGGTACCCATGAGCTATTGTTGCGTGTGGGAAGTGGGTGATTGAACAGTAAGATTCATGTGCTTTCTACTTCACCAGAAGTCTTCGACAGAATGCCCATAATTTCTGCAAAGCTGAGTGTGCGTGTGACAGGTGCTGACAAGGCTAGAAAAGTAGGTGCCTCTTCGATTTCTGAGATCGGCCCTCGTGGTCTCTGAGCAGCCCAGCTTTTGAGAAAGCGAGCGCCTCTTCGATTTGATTCGGGAGAACGATGCCTCATCGATTTTTGAGAAAGCAATCATGCTGGGGGTCTGGCTCTCGAAGATTCGGGGAGCAGTGTCTCTTCAATTTTTGAGAAAGTAATCATGTTGGGAGTCTGGCTCTCGAGATTCGGAGGGCGGTGCCTCTTCGATTTTGGAGCAAGCAATCTTGTTGGGAGTGTTTTCTCGAATGTGAGTAAAGGTTGGGCATGTTTGCTAGTCTACCTTGCCACGAAGCACATAGGTTGACACACAGGGACTTTCCAATTATCCAGCAATGGTACTGTTCCTTTACCCTCTCTTCGATTTTTAAGAAAGTAGTCATGTTGGGAGTCTGGCTCTCGAGATTCGGAGGACGGTGCCTTTTCGATTTTGGAGCAAGCAATCTTATTGGGAGTGTTTTCTCGAATGTGAGTAAAGGTTGGGCATGTTTGCTAGTCTACCTTGCCACGAAGCACAGAGGTTGACACACAGGGACTTTCCAATTATCCAGCAGTGGTACTGTTCCTTTACCCTTGTGGGTAATAATATGGTAGCTAGACCTTCAAAATTTATGGGTCTAAACTTAGTTAGTGCTGTTTCTTTGCTATTCTTTTACCCTTCTTGGTCAGAGCGATGTAGTGGGAGCTGCAAGCTTCACGTGCTCAACTTTGGCAGAGAACTTTGGCAAAGTTATCTGTGGTACCCATGAGCTATTGTTGCGTGTGGGAAGTGGGTGATTGAACAGTAAGATTCATGTGTTTTCTACTTCCCCAGAAGTCTTCGACAGAATGCCCATAATTTCCGCAAAGCTGAGTGTGCGTGTGACAGGTGCTGACAAGGCTGGAAAAGTAGGTGCCTCTTCGATTTCTGAGATCGGCCCTCGTGGTCTCTGGGGAGCCCAGCTTTTGAGAAAGCGAGCGCCTCTTCGATTTCTGAGATCGGCCTTCGTGGTCTTTGAGCAGCCCAACTTTTGAGAAAGCAAACGCCTCTTCGATTTCTGAGATCAACCCTCGTGATCTCTAAGCAGCCCAGCTTTTGAGAAAGCAAACGCCTCTTCGATTTCTGAGCAGGCGCCTCTTCGATTTCTGAAGCTCCGTCGAGTGCAGATTTTATATAGGGGCTGGCATTAAGTTCCAAAGCACACTTGAATCTCCACCAGTAGAAGCTTCATTCTTGCACTTCTAAGATCTTGATTTGTCCGACCTCTTTCTCTCTTCAACACCTTTGAAAATGTCTGGCCCCTCCGACCGTCGTTTTGACTTGAACCTTGTTGAAGAGGCAGCCCCGCCTTCTCCAGACAACATATGGCGCCCATCCTTCGTCTCCCCTACTGGTCCTCTTACCGTTGGGGATTTCGTGATGAAGAATGATATGACCGCTGCGGTGGTGGCCAGGAACCTTCTCACTCCCAAAGATAACAGACTACTTTCCAAACGGTCTGATGAGTTAGCTGTTAAGGATTCGCTGGCTCTTAGTGTTCAGTGTGCAGGTTCTGTGTCTAATATGGCCCAACGCCTATTTGCTCGAACCCGTCAAGTTGAATCATTGGCGGCTGAAGTGATGAGTCTCAAACAGGAGATTAGAGGGCTCAAGCATGAGAATAAACAGTTGCACCGGCTTGCACATGACTATGCTACAAACATGAAGAGGAAGCTTGACCAGATGAAGGAAACTGATGGTCAGGTTTTACTTGATCATAAAAAATTTGTGGGTTTGTTCCAAAGGCATTTATTGCCTTCGTCTTCTGGGGCTGTACCGCGTAATGAAGCTCCGAATGATCAACCTCTGATGCCTCCTCCTTCTAGGGTTCTGTCCAGTACTGAGGCTCCAAATGATCCCCCTCCGGTGCCTTCTCTTTCTGGGGCTCTACCGACTGCTGAGACTTCTCCTAAGCAACCTTTGTGAAGGCTCCCTCTTGTGTGTTTATTTTGACTCATGTATATGTACATATTTGTAGCTTATCTGGGATATCAATAAATAAGCTTTCCTTCATTTCAACGTATTGTGTTAAATACACCAAAGCCTTCTTCGCTAAGTTCTTTGAATTTTCTTTTGTTGAAGCTTGTATGTTGAAGCTTTCTGAGTGGAGCATGTAGGTTGGGGTAGTGTTCCCTTAATTTTCCCGAGTGAGGAAAACTTCTCGGTTGGAGACTTGGAAAATCCAAGTCACTGAGTGGGATCGGCTATATGAATCTTAGAACGCCATTGTGCTCGATCCTGTGTGTCATGTCCTTCGTTAGATCCAAGTACTCTAAGTCTTTTCTTAGAGTCTCTTCCAAAGTTTTCCTAGGTCTTCCTCTACCCCTTCGGCCCTGAACCTCTGTCCCATAGTCGCATCTTCTAATCGGAGCGTCAGTAGGCCTTCTTTGCACATGTCCAAACCACCGTAACCGATTTTCTCTCATCTTTCCTTCAATTTCGGCTACTCCTACTTTACCCCGGATATCCTCATTTCCTAATCTTATCCTTTCTCGTGTGCCCACACATCCAACGAAGCATCCTCATCTCCGCTACACCCATTTTGTGTACGTGTTGATGTTTCACCGCCCAACATTCTGTGCCATATAGCATCGCCGGCCTTATTGCCGTCCTATAAAATTTTCCCTTGAGCTTCAGTGGCATACGGCGGTCACACAACACGCCGGATGCACTCTTCCACTTCATCCATCCAGCTTGTATTCTATGGTTGAGATCTCCATCTAATTCTCCGTTCTTTTGCAAGATAGATCTTAGGTAACGAAAACGGTCGCTCTTTGGTATTTCTTGATCTCCGATCCTCATCCCTAACTCGTTTTGGCCTCCATTTGCACTGAACTTGCACTCCATATATTCTGTCTTTGATCGGCTTAGGCGAAGACCTTTAGATTCCAACACTTCTCTCCAAAGGTTAAGCTTTGCATTTACCCCTTCCTGAGTTTCATCTATCAACACTATATCGTCTGCGAAAAGCATAACTTCCAAAAATTTGAAATTTCAATCAGTTAAACATAATGTCTTGAGCTCAGTTAGGAATTTTTTTGTTATTAAAGTGGACTGGAGGTTCCTCATCTATCTACATTTTTAATCACTTTCCATCTCTAAGTTGTCTTTGCTTGAATTTATAAATGATACATGTTAAGTAAAACCACTGTAAACCTGTTCATACCTAGACCATGCACAGAACTAATAGACACATATGAGATACAAAATTGGCTCAACTTGGTACCTGAACTCTCATCTTTAAGGTTTTCAATCCTTGAGAGTAATGAGCAAAGTTCTGTTAAAAATGTGAAAGTGGGAAAGACAACAGTTCCAAGGAACACTACGATAAAGAATTTCTTGGTAAGGAGAGGAAGCTGCAATGACATTCGATAGGTTTTCAGCATTTAACGTTAATGATGGGTTTTGTTTGCACTTATACTGCTTAGCTCCTTAAAATGCATCGAAAAAACAGACTTGCTATTTTTTATCACTGATTTAAAGAACTTCTTTTAATTCTCGGATACAATTGGTAAATAAGAGTTACTAGTTCAACGGAAATGGAATATCAAAATGATCTACTGTAACTTCGCATGTGTCCTAAGAATCTAGATAAACGAAGAGAAACATAGATAAATTGGAAGAAAGTAAAGGTACCAAATTTGAGAAGTAACACCAATCAAGCAATCATCTCCAAAATCTTATTAAGGACAACCGAGATCGTAGTGTCAGACAAACCCGGATCAAACATATTATGCCTATAATTTACACTCAAAATACATTAAATTTCAGACGAACAAATCTTCCAATTAGAATTTCAGAAGAAACCACTTTTAGAATTCAACCCATCCAACACTTTCAAAATTCAACTCGAGTTGAAATTCCCCCTCTCCATGATTAGAGTGGTTTAGACTATCGCTGGTATTAAAAGAACAATTAACCCATCAAACAACAAGCTGCCTAAGTGAAAGTTTCAACTTTTGGAGTTAAACAATCAATTTCAAAATTCAAATCATTCAAAACAAAGAAATGGAGATATACAATGAAGTGGGCAACTCACCGCCACAAAAGGGAAGCTGCCAATCGTTCCGCTGACAACGAGCCAGATAACGCCATAGCCCAAGAAACAGAGCACACAACCAACCAAAAGCACAGCCCACGGAGGAAACTTGTTGCAGGCGATCCCAGGGAGGAAACCCAAACTCTCTCCAACGTCACTGGCCACTCCGAGAATGGTGAGCTGCTGCTGACTCAAACCCAGCACCGATTTCAGCAGCGGGGAATAGAGCGGGAAGTTGTATGAGTTTCCGGAAGCAATTTGGACCCAAACCGCCGCTCCCAACCCCACCCACGGCGGCCGGCTTCCTGCTTTCAGACTTGGGCTCGGCATCTTCTGATCGCTGATACAGTGGGATCAGAGAGAAAGGAAGGGCAATAGAAATGTGGGAAAATACGCCGTTGCAGCGTTTGATTGGAAGAGGTTGTGAGAGAGCTATCAGCGCGACCAAACTCCCAACTTGGAGTTTAATGGAGTGGCAGAAATCACGTAGGGATTCGGGAAACGAGTGTCAAAGATGAAGGGGACAGGACCATAGACCAGAGGGCAGGTGGCGGACGGCGGGGCTGCCCTTTATGTTCCCATTGAAGACTAAATTATTGTAGTTTGCATTTTGTTCACGTCATATACTATGTCCTACATGTTGTGCCCTTTGTGGTGAATCAGCTACACGCCGACGATATCACATAAAATTTCGGTATTTGGCTTGGATCGATTACACACTTATATGGGTTTGTGTACGATGCGTCGGATTATTTCAAATTGAGTTAGAACTGTCTTATAATATACTAAATTAAAATTAATTTAATAAAATATTAGATGTAATGTCGGACTAAAACACAAGATATTAATAAAAATGATCTCTCTCTTTTATTTTTTTTTAATTTTTTATAAGAATAAACTGTTTAATGTTCAAGTCTTTCCGCTGCAGAGTTTGATCCTTAGAATATTATCTTGATATTCTTGAGATTATTCTTAAAGGGTATGCTAGCTATCTACACACTATTTTTACTTTTCACACAACTTTATTAATTTCTATCATTTGATATTTTTTAATTTAGTCAATCCGAGGACTGTAAATTAAGAGGGTGTGTATGAGATAAAAAAATGGAGTTTTAACGAAAAGTCTACGATACTGTTCACTTTAACGAAAAACCACATTTTTACACTAAAAAGTCAAACCTGGTACTGTCACATCCCGGCCCGGGGCATACCACTTCCCGGGCCTGCTCCACCACCGTAGCACTTTGTCCACTTTGAGCTTACCATTCCCTCACAGTTTTGTTTTTAGGAACTCACGAGCAACTTTCCAATAGGTCACCCATTATGAGAGTGCTCTAGCCACCTTCTCGCTTAAGGTCAGAGTTTCGACGGAACCCGAAGCTAGTGAGCTCTCAAAAGGATTCGTGCTAGATAGGTATGAGAATATACATTTAAGGATCACTCCCCTGGACGATGTGGGATGTCACATGTACTATTCACTTTACCTTTTATTTTGCCCTTATCATTAAAACTCAAAAATTTCAAGCCATTTTCATTAGTTTTCTTATAAAAAAAAATGTATGGATAACACACTTATTCTTAAATACTTGTTGCTGTATCATGATAATAGTAGTGCTATGTACCTAATCTTTTCCTCTTGGATGATTGTTATAGAAGGAAATTTGCATGAAAAAATTAGAGAGATTTTTCTGTATGTCTAGAACATAAAATGGTATATTATGTGTCATTATACAAGTGAGATGAGATACCTGTATTAAAAAAATTAATTTAAAAAAAAAGACAAAATTCTACTTATATAATAAGGGATGTGATATCCACACACCCCATTTTACTTTTCACACCTTTTTAATTTTCAGCCTTTAGATCAGATGAATTGAAGAAGATCAATTGACAGAAATTATCAAAATGTGTCGTCGTACCCAGTGCACAAGGCTCCCGCTTTACGCAGGGTCTGGGAGAGGTGAATGTCGGCTAGCCTTACCCCCATTTATGGAGAGGCTGCTCCCAAGTCTCGAACCCGAGACCTACCGCTCATGGGCAAAGGCACTTGCCATCACACCAAGTGCGATGAGAAGTAAAATAAAGTGTGTGGATAGTACACCTCTATAATAAAATATGATATATCATCCGTCTTCTGAGTATAATGAAAATTTTCTCCGATAATTGATGGCCTAACTGAATTGTCGACTTTTGGATTCATCTTCCATCTTAGTGCAAATTGCTGTCATACTTCTACTTTCAATAAAGAATATCAAATCAATTTGAATTGTGTTGCCTTGCCCTCAGATTTGGAATATTTTCTGAATAGTGAAAATGGTCTTTTTCTTTAAAGAATATGTGAAGGAAAGAGAGAACTCATCTATTACCTCCTTTTTTTTTTTTTTGAACAAAACTCATCTATTACTTTTAGCATAAAAGTATTTTTTTTTTATTAATCATCATGCCCTAAATATATATTAAATAATAACTTGTATAGAAATTGGGTGGACTATATAAGCTAAAGCCCCCCTAAACATGTGGGTAGCTCTGTCGTGTATAAACTCTCAAGTAAACACAATGCTAAATGTATACAAATAAGAGTTGGAAAAGCCTAACCTTGAGATCGAGTCTAGCATTTGATATTATGTTTCCCCCCCCCCCCCCCCCAAAAAAAAAAGTAATTGATATTACTTAAGACAAGATTTCACCTCACGTGCTTCAAAGTTTGAATAACAAATGTCTCTCATGTACAACGATATTTTGCTTTGTAACAATAACACTCCAATCCATAATTCATAAACGGTGAACCAAATAGCATTTGAACTTTCTCAATGAACACCATTCTAAATATTCAAGATATGTTTGGGTGAGGAACTTTCAAATTCCAATAGATTTAGGCATAGGATAAAGAAATGGATAACCACGTACTTCAAAGTTTGAATAACAAATGTCTCTCATGTACAACGATATTTTGCTTTGTAAGAATAACACTCCAATCCATAATTCATAAACGGTGAACCAAATAGCATTTGAACTTTCTCAATGAACACCATTCTAAATATTCAAGATATGTTTGGGTGAGGAACTTTCAAATTCCAATAGATTTAGGCATAGGATAAAGAAATGGATAACCAAAAGTTAGACATTAGAGATTAGAAATATGATAAATTTTAGCCAAGTGAGCGGTTTCGTGTATAGTCCGGGCAAAGGTACCATTTTCAGACCAATAAGTGAAATTTTTTACGCAGACATGTGAAGTATCTAACTTAATATGCAGTGTTGGGCTTTGCTCGATGAGAATTCTAAGTGCTTCTGTATGCAGGAGAAGGCTAAAAATACTGTTAAATATGCAGGAGAAATTAACAGTTGGTAATTGGACTATCAGAAATAAACTTGATCACTATCTACTCAATTTGTTCCTAGTTTCTCCGGCGACCGGGGCAACCTTCAGTCCTGCGGTCACCATACATACCACAAGTGCGACAAAGACTCATAACAGCGTATTCGACCCAGTCATCGTCATCAGAAGAGCCACCCTCTTTACGACAACATTTACAAACTATTGTGTCGGCATGGCCGAGCTGTGCACCCTTTGGAACATGGCACATGTACGGGGAAGATGGAGTCACGTGACGCCCCATAGTAGTACAAAGCCGACATTCACAACACAAAAAACGTGGTTTAAGTAAACATCCCAACACCAAACTTTGACACCGTAAAGGCATAAACAAGTATCTTTACTGCAGAAATCTGGAGTACAACCTTGACCGATGTTCCGACTATAATTTAGAAACCCTAGCCAGCAACCTCAGAGCATAGTAAATAAATGAATACTGAGTGCCAACCCAACTACCAAATTAAAACACCAACTTATAAGGAACCATCAAATTATTAGGAGATATTGAATAGAATCTGAACGAGCCTTCAAACTAAATTAATGTCACAGCATTTGTTTGGGCCCAAAATAATATTTTGAGCCAAGTTTATAATTGTTCTTGGTCCAGTAACATTCATCTAGAATCTTGTCATGGGCCTTCCAGTCAAGGTCGGCCGAATCCTATTACGAAGTGGATTGGTTTAGATAAGGGTGAGGTAGTCGAACCCTAGTGCAACAAGAAGTCTTAAAGCTGAGGATGCTTAGAATTAGATGATGAATCTGGTTCATTAAGGAGCATGGTTTAAAATCCTATAGGGGTTAGGATTGGCCGAAACCTGATCAGATTGGGTTGAGGAGTTCTAATCCAAGTAAATCTCTAGTTCGGCCATAAGGGGGTTCGCTGCTATAAATAGAAAGGGGAGTGCATCATTTAAAGCCCCTTCAAATCAACACACAAATTGCCTTGCGCAAAGCTTTTCAACAACCCTGAGATTTTTTCCTTTCCCCATTTCTTTCAGCAAACACATCTTCAGTTTAGATAAATAACACTATGAAGGCAACTAACGACATCTTCAGTTTGGATAGACAACACTAGAGTAGTAGAATCAGCCGATCGAGGATCACCTTCAGTTTAGATAGACAACACTGTTTCGAGACCGACTGGTTATTTATCTAAGTTTCGGTCAATAAGGATTTTCGAGTCCTTGTTGGTAGAGGTCATCTTATCAGCCTTCTCGGTGAAGTGAGGTGTTACTGGTTACTGGGCTTGGCACATTGAAAGCCAAGTTTTTATTTTATGATTGGATATTCATAAGTACATTTTAGAGTTTGGCATTCCGACGGCCGAACCATATTTACAATTAAGACATTTATCTCTTTCGAGTATTTGTGTCCGTACAGTCTGGTACTAGTTCAGCGTACATATACTCTCATGAATATAATTACCGAGATAGAACCTGGCGCCGACGATTTGTGAACTTCGAAGAAACTAGCAGCTTTGTCTTCGGGCTCTAGAACCCGAAGGCTGAGACATGTTCCTTCTTAGGCCGTAGTCATAAAATCAAGAAGTCAGCAGCGCACCCAATGACACATCAACATATTTTACTCCCCAGTCGAACTCGGTTGACGAGTTTGCACGCCCCACACAACCGAATGACGTAGTTAGCTTATTAGTTATTCGGCCTGCGCGCCACGTAGGCTTGGTAGTTTTTAGGGTCAACATTTTTGGCACACCCAGTAGGACCCAGTGCTAAAGCTACGAAGTTCATGACCATTGAAACACGATCAGTAAAAAAGAAAACAGTCATGGGTAAGTCGACGACTAATCTTCCACCTACAATCTAAAGCCCAAGAAAAGATGGCTTGTCACAGGCATAAAATCCTCCTGTTGCCGTAACACTTGAAGCCACAAGTACAACATGCTGAGAAAAGGAAATTAATCTCGGCGGTCAGACTTGTGATGTAGAAATCCCCACCAAAATGACAAAAGGCATTTTTGTTGAAGGACTAGTGGAAGATTATAACGATGATGATGAGGCCTCCGATCCACCATCCAGATCTTTTCTCCGGCGATGATTTGAAGAACAATCCTGGAAGTTTGATCAAATGTTTAACTGAGCGGTAAAAAACATACTTGAAGAGATGTGTGATAATAGCATTGTGCACAACAGATTGCTTGAAGTTCTGGTTAATAAAGTCTACGAAATTGGACCGGTCGATCGACCCAGGTAACCTCTTATTCTAAAGAGTAATCCCTTTCCAGCGATACAGGCC